TTAAAATTACTCTCCAATAAATAGGTAATGTAATAATTTGGTAATACAGACCTCATTTCCCTTCGCGATCTTCTAACTTGTGGCTCAGAAACTGACTTAATCGTTGTTGGAGGTGGACGTTTCTACTAGTTCCTTGGTTCTTCATTAAGAATTTTAACTGGTTGAGAACCAACCTTTTTCTGTATAACACGAACTGGAACAACTTGATTTGATTCAACAAAAAGCTATTTCAATGTCGAGCTCTTACTATCATCAAAATTTTTCTTCCAAAATTTAGTAGCAATGGACTCAACAATTCCAGTACCACAATTTGGATAGTAGAATTTATATCCTCTTGATCTGTTTGGCTAACCAATAAAATAACTTGGAGTGGATTTCGAGTCTAATTCCTTGTCAAGGGGATTATAAATTCTAACCTCAGCTGGACATCCTCAAACTTTGAAATGAGCCAAACTTGGGTTACGTCATGTCCATACTTCAAAAGGAATTTTTGAAATAGCTTTACTTGAAACTCTCTTCAAAATATAAATAGCAATTTTTAAGGCTTCACTCTATAGATATTCTGAAAAATTTGTTCTACTCATCATGTTCCTGACTATATCTTTCAGAGTTCAATTACATTTTTCAAAAACGTCATTATGTTCAGGTGTCCCTAACATGGTGTATTAAGGTACTATTCCATGCCCTTGTAAAAACTTTGCAAAATCACCCATATTTTGACCAAACTCGTCATATTTTCCAAAGTACTCACTACCACGACCAAATCTTACAAATTTGATACTTTTTCCAGATTGTTTCTCTACTTCCATTCTGAAAATTTTGAATTTCTCAAGTGCATGAGACTTATCATTAATCAGGTAAATATATTCATATCGTGAGAAATCATTAATAAAAGTTATGAAATATTTGTTCCCACATATGATGGAAGGTAAAAGTCTACTGACATCAATATATATCAAGTCCAAAATATCATTGCTCTTAGTGGAACATTTTCTTGTAGATTTAGTTAGCTTTCCTCTTATATAATCCACAGAGGTATCAAAATCAGATAAGTCTAGAGAGGAAACTATCTCAACTTTTACCAAACTTTCATTTTTATTCTACAACATAGAGGATGATTAATGGATTAGAGACTTTTTCTTTGACACATTGGTAACACAAGAGACTTCACCAAAAGGAGCTAAAGACAATTTGTATAAATAATTACATAAAAGGTCATTTCCAATCAAACGAAAATCATAAAACAATTCAACCATTCCATTATCAAAATTAAAAGAAAAATTAGAAGCATCAAGTTTTGATATAGAAATTAAATTTTGTCTCATTATCTGTACAAAAACTATATTATCTAAAACAAGAGACAAACCAGACTCTAAAGACAACCTTACAACTCCTATGAACTTAAAATTCACTTGAACTCCATTTTCAACGCACAAGCTTACTTTATTCTCACTTAGCCACCGTTTGCTTGTAAACCCTTGCAAAGAATTCACAAAATGAATTCTAACTCTCGAGTCTAACCACCAAGAATTCATGGGCAAATATACAAACGAAGACTCAAGACAAACTAAGGCCAATGAGATACCTGTAGAACTCATCTTCTTCTATGACCAAGTCTTAAACTTAAATCAATCTTTCTGCTAGTGACCCTTCTTTTTGCGGAACTTGCATTGATAATTTTTCTTTATGGTTCCTTTCGGATCACTAGAAGTCTGACTTTCAAAATTCTTATTTTGCTGATTGCGGTGTGACTTACACGCAGCATTCTTTACTCCTTTGAGCACATATTGGAATAAGGTCATTCAAATCCTATTTATCCCACTGAGCATTATAAGCAACTTTAAACTAATTGAACCGACAAGGAATGCTATTTAAAACATGATAGATTAGGAAAGACTCCGCAATGAAAATTTCGAGAGCTTTTAGTTTAGATGATATATTTATCATTTTCATAACGTGCTCTCTAACTCCACTTATACCATCATATCTCATATTCACCAGTTTGTCCATTAGATCTCCAGTTTCATCTTTATTAGACTTAACAAAACTTTTTTCTATGGCATCCATAAAAACTTTTGACATTTTCATTGTCTGGAATGGCACCCATAATGGAATCGGATATAGAGTGCTTAGTAATTTTCTAATAAAGCTTGTTGGTCTTTCCCACTTTTCAAACCCAACCACATATTCAAGAGTGATCTTATCTGTGGGTTTTGAAAGCTGCTACTCAATTGCAAAATTCAAGTTAAAAAAATCAAGTACTATTTTTACATCTCGTTTCCATCTTACATAATTATTCCCATTCAAAGTTTCAATAGCAAACAATTGACTAGAAAGAGATGAGATATTCGAAACTATGGAAACATAAAATATTATACTTAATATCATTCAAACATAATGCATGCAGTTAATGGATGATAAATTATCCATCTAATTAACATGGGTTATTAATTAGATAATCCGTAATTAAAATCAAAACCATATAAATCTTATTATGGTAAAATCATATTTGAACTGACAATACATGTTGTAAGGTACTCGTAAAACATATCATGAAGCTTATTAACAAATTCACACTGGTTTTCGAAATACCAACACCTTTAGGCAAAAGGAGATCTCTAAACCAAAATAGATTCGTTAACAACCTTATGTCATTTTCCAAAATATCGCATATAAGAACACCTTTAAATAAGATACTACATGCAATAATTCAAAAATTCAACCCTTTTTTGTAGAGAAAATCAAATAAATAGCAATGAGTGTGTCACTTTGTCAGCTACCATCCATTTTTATTTCAAAATATTTCTCTCAATGAGAGAAAGAGAATAGTCTTACAGCTCATGGAAAGGTTCGATCACAATGTTTTGATAATCGACCTAGATATTGACCTGAAAATATGAGAGGGCCAAAGGTCAAACGGTCGAATCGAGGTTGAATCGGTTTGAATTGAAAATAATATAATTAAAAAAAGAAAAATTATATATTGATATGTATCATATTGAAATTTTATATCTAATAAAAGAGTATTTTTAATATTTATCATTTAACTTCTCATAAATATTTTAATACTCATATAGCATCAAATTAATACTAAATGGGCTCATGTGACATAGAATTAAGGAAGTGCTACATGTACATAATTGTCTATATAATGGTGTAAATAATTACACGTGGCACTGGATCCAACATTTAATTCAAATCTCACACTTGTACATCAACAACCAGATGATTGTCACATCACATTATGGACACCATTATGTGCAATAATTATATACAAATAGAATTTTCCATATAATTAAATGGACCTAAATAAAGAGTCAAAACCCTTGATGGCGCCTCTCTCCTCTCTTACAAGTCCCTTTTTTTTTTTGGCCAAGTTTTTCTTTATCAAACTCATACACAAGGGGTCGATACAAGAGGTACATGTCACTACTCACAATTAATGCCACATGTGTAATAAAGAAAAATAGACGAGTGCGAGATGGCTATTAAACAACAGAGATTCCAATACAATGGAGAAAAGAGAGAAAAACAGAGTCACTTGACGGTTTTGATGTAACAATATTTCACATGGAGGAATCTCCGGGGGGTTCTCTCCAATTTTGGATATAAGTTCATGTGTTACTTTTACTATTAATTCTCTTTTGATCTTTTATGATATTTTGAAAATTTCTCAAAGGAATAACTAATCTATCAATCTGAAAACACATGACCAGATTCCAACAATTCCAATAATCCACAGAAATTGAGAGCAAATACATACAATTAGGCTCTTATCAATCAAATTCCACTCACAATTAGACTCTTATAAATCAATTCGAGGAATTACCCAACATTCTCGACAAGACAACGTGAGTGTTAATAATTTCAAGAATTTACATTCGAACAATAATTCTTTCGTTTATTAAAACATCATGGAGAGCAAAAAGAAATTACTTTTTCAAATATGTCAAGCTACCAACAAGGATTCTGATATTAGCGTAGAGTTCTGATATCAATTGTTGAATTTAACAATAATCATGCTAAAAAACAAGAATCATAATTCTCAATTGATAGATTACAATTCATATATGTGGGTGACATTAGATTGACAGGAAGTCTTTCCACTTTACTCTCCTACAGTCTTTCGGAAAAACAAATGCCATGAAGGAAAGATTTTATGCGGAAGACATCTTAGGTATGAATATTAGCAGCTAGATATTCCTCTTCTTGCTTCTAAAAAATATTAGCTGTTAATAGGGTAAGTCAATAAAAAAATTTGGAAATGAGAGTGGACCTAGCCTTTTATATAGAAATTTATTGAGCCGTTATATTAATGACTCCAAACTTAATTATGGTTTACATATTTCTGGCCATGATTTATACCATGTCGAATCTATTCTACTTCTCTCGAATACAAGAACAAGTCACCAAACTCACACACACATTACATGCACAATAATTGTGGAGAACATAAGTGCATATAAATCATTCAAAATGATCCAAACGTATTATAATGTTAAAATCATGAAACGAAGAATTAAATATCACATCACAAGGTTCATTGATCTCCTAGCATAAAAATATTTAGCCTAACATGAAGAAAATAATAGAATACATATTGGCTTGAAGATAAAATATCGTCGGGTTATGAATTCGCATGAAATCTCGATGATCTTTATGAAATCATTCATTACTCTCGCTCAAAATCTTCTCCAAGATGCGTTTTCTTACCTCTCAATGCGTTCTCCCTCGAAATATGATGACTCTAGATTTTTATATCACGTCCCAATTAAGTTCCAAAAAGAGTTTTATGGAAAATAGGAAACTGCAAAGTCGGCCCCCAGTTTTTCACTATGTGACCTCACGGCACTAAGCTATGTGATCGCATAGTTGATCAAAAATTGGCCAAATAATTCCCTGCCATGGGCCATGCGACAGCATGGCTAATGCTACTATGCGACCGCATAGTAGCTCTAACTTCCATTTTTTCAAGGTTTGGTCCTCGAACTTGTTTTCTTCAATTTTGATCTCGTTCCTTCGTTTTTTTTTTCATTCCATACATCAATAGTGGCCTCCAATTGACACTTGGCTCAATCAAATCCTCGATTTCTCCCTCGGGTCATATTTTTGATAATTGCACTTTAGTCCCTAGACTTTCGTTTTTCTTCCTTTTTGGTCCTTTTCGAATCTTTTCTCGTGGATTCCAACATGTCCATCAATATAACCTATGATATACAAATCAAACGAAATTAAATCACAATTCAAACACTTTGCTCATAATTTAGTCATGTTTGTGAATTAAATAAGTACATAAAAGCACACTTATCAACCCACATACTTAAATTACCACATTAAATAAAATATAACATGTAAGGTGTAAAATGGCCTAAGTGATCATTTAACATATTGAACTTAAAAATAGTATCATTATGAACCATGCATTTAACCCGTAAAATTTGCAATAAAATGGGAAGCCCATATTTTAGAATTATTCTAGCATACCTGGCTGTAGTTGGATCGTATAGGTTCCAATTCAGCAGTGGGAGGAGCAGCTTCAACTTCTGTAAATGATGAGAAACCAAGATGGATAGCAGCCTATTGCAAAAACATTCGAAGCTCCTGCTTGCTGATACTTCCAACTGGATTTATATCTGCAGCACTCAATCATACTGCATATAATAGGTAAGCAACTTATTATAAGGAGACACTAATAATATCATTGCTAAACATTACTAGCAATGCACAAAGCCAAGTTAGTCATAATCCATAAACATGATTATGAGTGGTTTAGAGTTTAAAGTGTAGTATACAAAAGATTATTACAACTACAATGCCGAATAATAAACTCTCAAAGTGTAAAATCGAACAAAAAAAAGACCCAAAGCTTCTTCAACACCACTAATAAAGTGTTCTTGTTATTGAGTTCAGATTTGTGGCACACCGGATCATGCACCGTCGTCCACGAGAATGACAATGAATATATCGAGAAAGGATCCGTTGAAAGCCATCAAGAATTTCGCCGGAGTTATGGAAAACTCCTACTTGGTTACCTCTCTATACTCTCTCTCAAATGTTATGCCAAGTTCAAGTATGAGAGAATGAAGAGGTCTTGTAATTATAGAGCCAATTCGTTTGAATTCAAAATTCAAATATTGTACTATGGTTTAGAGAGTGACAACACTAGTATAGGTAATTGACTACAAGATTAAATCCAATGGTTGGATTTAATCTATAGTCCATATTACTGCATAACTAGCATAATTCAAGTCACATTCTCTGGACCAATCAACTTGCACCAATAGTAGGATGTGATCCACCTTACAAGTGGAGTTACCCAGCTAAAACTAGGATCTAGGATTTCATAATACAATAGGCCGCCCCATCTACCTTTAGCCGATATAATTTGTTGCTCAATTCTGATTGACGTTTAATTATGCTTTTCTTCATATACTGGCTAAGTTAAGTCCAGTTCAATGTTCACAACCCAAATATTTCTCTTGTCATGCACGTTTGTAAGGTTACAATATCTAAAGTACCTTTGTAAGATTGCCACATAATCCTTCTTCCACACGACCTACACAAGACCAGATAAAAACCTGGTTTGTCGTAAACCAACGGCAAGAGTGATGCCAGCATGAATGCTAGGACCATTCTGATGAGAGCTTGTATGTTTTGCAGTCCCAAGTTTTCAATGTTCGATTCTCCATCTACCCGTGGAGAAAATAAATGATCAGGTTCTCTCTAATATGATATGGTAAATATTATAGAGGTGCACCGTGCACACAAAACGTTTAGATTTTCTCCTTCTACCTTGTAACGCGGTCGCTTTCCATTAAGTGATAGGAAAAACAGAGAGCAGAGAAGAAAGCACTCCATCTATAGAAACATCAAAATGCCATGACCCAATTTCATCGACCAGCACATTTTGCCCTGGTTCTTGTGGCATCAAAACTAACACCTGTACAATTTGAATATGCATCTGCTTGGATCAGTGGAATAGACAAAGAATTGAAAGTTAAACAATGCCCAGGATAAAGCAGCTGCTCTTAACTTTCATAACAAGGAGCAGGAGCAGGAGCAGGAGGAGAAGGAGAAGATCATTAATGTCTTGAACCTACAGTACTGTTCAAACTTAAGTGACTCCTCCCAAAATTATTTAATATGTTTAAGTATATCATAGAGTGGTATACGTTAGACAATTAATTCTGCCCATATATCCTTGCCTATTTTCAGATCCCATAAAAACTTTGTAGAATATGCGTTTAGCAAATTCTCTACTGTCAGTTGGAATTGTCCATCAGTATAATGGCCGATTCATATAGCATCAGCTTTGACTTTTCCATCCCCGTTGACGATTTCTGCATGAAACTTTGCGTGTCAATGGAGTAAACAAAGCATGACATGCAGAATATGTTTCTGAATTGCATGAAAGGTTCAGGCACCTTGCAGTAGGTAATACTCGACCTACTATTTTATGGGAAATTTTCACTTTTCGTCTCAACCTTTGAGAATTGTAACAAATATACCGTCAAACGTTTTTTAGCATAGTTCATCCCCAACCTTCCGATTATCTAGCAAAAGTCGTCCTTCCCTCCATTTTGTCCATTAAATGACAGATTAGGCCTCGTCTTTAAATAAACAAAAATAAAAGATAACATTATCAATATCAAATTCCTAACAAATAAAACTAATAAAATCTATATAAACTCAAATTTTAATTATTTTTAAGTCTTTGGCCATGAGTAGAGTTTTAGTTGTTTCCTTATTGCACCACCAAGCTCACCCACCCATTAGTGGCTGAACATTCTGTTAGACATGATGTTGTCAAATGACCTCTCGGGCGATGATGAAAACCAATTTTATCAGTCGACATGAATGACTGAACGATAATTCAACATCGAATAATGGATGAACCGACCAAACGTTGCTTTACCTATTGGACGGCTAATACTCTTTGTGACTTGTTGTTTTCTTTCCATTGGAAATTAACCCTAGTCAAGCCTACTTACCATAACTTGACTTGCCTTATGTTGGCCACTTAACATATATATATATATATATATATATATTGGTGTTTTCTTTGACTCCTTAAACCCGTCCATATAGAACCCGAGAGCAATAGAGAGACTGCCGTGTTCTTCTTCTACCTTCTTCTTCGTGATTTGTCTTCCATGCCAATTGCTTGAGCCTTTGTGACTCTTACCTGTGTGGTATCCATCCTAAGTGTGTGGATTGAATCAACAAGCAAAAGAGGAAAGCAACCATAGGAAGAAGAGGCGCCGGCGGATTCGGTCACTTTGAGTTTGGTGTTGAATTCGATGTTTAATGGTTAACTGAGCCCGGAAATCACTTTGAGCAGCTTAAGGAAGATCCTAACACATTCCAAGTTCAACCGCCTATTAGTGGGTAAGCATTCTATCTTTGGTGACTTCTTCTTTTAGCAACAACCTAACCTCACTGTTAGCTTCGGCTACCTTCTTCAGAGTTACAAAACATTAATCACGTCTTACCATCCAAAGCAAGCACCAATTTTCTATTCGTATATCTAATCTCTCAAGTCGACCTAGGCCTCTATTTTGTATGCAAGGATCAAGCGATTCTCATTTATACTGGGTGCACAACTCTTTCTACTGACTGTAAATTGGTGTCAGGCGCAAAGGATTTTGTTGACAGTCTGGTTTTAAATAACTTATTTGAGGCTTAAGCCTCGAATTGTGCTGCAGGTGCCCGTACCTTAAATGACATTTGTTAGGCTTATGCCTCAATCCAGCTAAGGATTTGTGGGTGCATGTGACCTCGACGGTGTTCGAGGATCTCTCTTGTCCACATTGTTCGTGCGTCACATCTGGGATTGGGCAAAGGGTTCGAGTTGGGTCAGTTATCTCACCACGCTCTCATTCACTCCCAGATTTCCACACGTTTATTTCCAACTATCTCTCTCTTATTTATTGTTCCTACTCTCTCTATGATCCCTCACTCACTCTTTCACTCAAGTCCCTCTTGTCAAATTCTTAAAATTACGGATAGAAGAAGGTAAATCGAATTTCAACAATTTTCCATTTTAGGTCGAGTTCAACTCTCTTGCAGTTTTTAAGGTAGGATATATCATACGTGCAAGTTGGCTGTCATTTTACAGTATTATTTTATTTACGTACATATTTACTAGAAATGCTAATTGACCTCTTAGTCATCTATGAAATGAAATGCGATACCCCTTAGGAGTTTTCTCGAGATTTACGCAAATTTTGTTAACTAGAGCTATCACTTGATCACTGACCACTTTTGATAAAATGATGGTATGAATTGTCCAAATTTATGTTTATAACATTATATCTTATTATGGTGCGAATGTCCTGTTGGGTATTTGTAAACTTGTTCCTAGTTTATTACATAATGGTAAAGCTATGTATAAAGGGTTATTTTGCTTGTAAGCTTGCAGCCCCCTTCCCACTGTACGAGGGGGTTGTCATGCTTGGTGTACACAAGTACTGTACACCAAGTATGACTCATGTACGAAGGGGCTTTTCTTGAAAATGTGACAATTAAGTTGTTATTTTTTCCTTGTCAAATTAACTAGATTTGTTGAGCTTGTATTAATGCATTTTAGATTATTCCCAGTAGCATGACTTTGTAATTTGAATGTTATTTTAGGTTTAATTAACCCAAAGTTTAGTATTAAGTATTAAATTTTAATTTTAGTATAAATATTATTTAGCCATGTAAATTGTAATGAATAAAATAGACTTTGTAATTCTCTAAACTTTATTTGAAATTTAGGGCGTTACATAGTGGACAGCTAGTCATCTATTCCAATGACTAGCAAAATAGCATATGATAATAATAAATTGCTTGCATGTATCTAGTGAACAAAATTATGCATTTAACCAAATCAAGACCTTGACAGCTCTATGAGCTTCTGGTCGTGCATTGCTCAACGTTACTGCAAATACAACATCTTTAGACCTTTTTGACAAGGGGATACTCTTTTAGGTGCTAAGTTTAAGATAAGCGACGAGTG